AACACCCCCCCCCCCCCCCCCGCCTGCCCCAGTTTAATCAGTTAACCAGTTAAACTTAACGTTTAACTGATTAATTAAATGGTATTTTTCATCCCTATTTCTGAGCTCTGTTCAATTTTGTTCAAAGTTTTGAGGATTTTTCACCATTGTACTATGAACTTTTTTTCAGTTTGCTGGAAAGGTCCCATTACTGGGAGAGAAGCAGCTACTGTAATCAGTGGGTAGCAAGGTCCTACTACAGTTGCTGGAATCTGGCAGTGGGTTGGATAGGGGTGTGATTCTACTTGTATATAGTTATTTGGATTCTGCATGATTCAAGTCACAGTCAATATTTTGTTTGCCCTAACATACCTCAGGGCTGTTATAGTAACTTTTTGGCTATGATGTACCTGTTCTCTGGACTTCTAAATGCATCATCTTGCAGATTTAACTCAATTCTTCTTTGCTATTATCTATTTATAACTCAACTTTAACATTGCAGAAACATAGTTAAAAAGAATTTTTTTAGCTGCACTGTAAACTTTTGTAGGCCAACAGTGTAACATTTTTTACTTAAGATTTTTCCTTACCCATGCATACCAAAAAGTAAATGTGCCTTTAAAATGTGTTTTAATCGACATGTAACAAAAGGGAAAAATCCTCCTGTATGTAGTTACATCAGCCAAGTGTGGAAGACATCTAGAACAGCCAAACATATGTGAAATGACACTGGCTATTGATTAACCAGTCTAATCAAGCTTTGTTGAAATGACCTCTCTTGGTTCCAGAGTAAATATTGTGAATGTTGCCAACACTGAATTACTGCACTCTTTTGATCTCCCAAAGGCAGTTTGCCTTGAATTCTCGCCAAAGAATAATGTCCTGGCAACGTGGCAGACCTACACAAGTGAGTATTTTAGCATCTGTAAAAATATGTGCGAGAACTTTGCGCCGACTGAATTGGGGCGGAAGGTTTCCTCCATGCACAGGTGCATGGTTAAGTGCATAATAAAAGAGAAGATACCTTCTGAAGCATTAGGTATGGGCCACTGGACTCGTGGTCTGATCTACTGAGCAAATGCTATGTTTTCAAAAGACTAAATACTAAGATGAAGAATACAGGAACTCCCCAACTTATGAACTGGATGTTTTCCGAAAATGTGTCTGTAAGTCTGTTGTTTGGAACGCAGAATGCTTTTTCCCCATAGAAGCAACATTATAAATAGTAGTTAGGTTAGCCCACAAAAACCTATTTAACACATACATAGCTGAAATACTGTATACTTGCAATGAAAAATAGTAGAAATAGTTTTTATTTAACTGTGAATTCTGGTTCTTGAGGAAAGGTAGGTTTAATTAAAGGAGCTCATAGAGGTAGGTGGAGATTCTGAAGGGGAGTTCTGAGCATCTCACAGCCTTAACTCCCCCTCCCCCCTCACAGGTCTGCTCTGGCTCCTGTGGCCAACCGCATCCTTGCCCTCCTCCCTGCCTCTGCAGGCTGCACCCAGTCTTCGGTCACCAGGAGGCACTGAATGGCATGGCATGAGCCCGGGCTGGAGGAGCAGGGAGCAGCTGTGAAGCCAGTGACTGGAGAGAAGTGACAATTTCTTCTTCAAAGAACCTCTTCTCTCCAGCTGCTAGCTGTGCGACTGCCCCCTACTCCTCTGGAGTCCTCCAGGTTTGCGCTGCTCCCCAACACCTGTGCCTCTTGCCTGCTCTCTTGAGGCTGCAGGTGAGCTGTTGTTTGCATGTGCAGATGTTTGTAAGTCACGTATTTGTAACTCAGGGAATGCCTGTATGTTACTGTTTAGTGAGTACACAAAATGCCTCAGGTGGCACGTGACCTCACTGAATTTGGTCTGATGGTTGGGTCACTTGCTTTCCTGGCTCAGATCAGGTACTGACTGGGAATAAGATCTGAGCACTGATCCATGTCTCCAAGAGCATGTGTGGACATACTAGAATACAGTTTAAAACAATTTATAACCATGGAAATAAGATACTTAATGGAAAGAGTTCCTCATGAACTAAAGAGAAATGGAGACTTTCACCCAGCCATTCTTTAAACTCCTAGGTTAGATTCTAGATGGCAGAACAAGTCAAAGAGTGAGTCCCAATGGTGGAGAGTCACAGTGAGGGCACACTATTAAAACACTGTTGTGAACAGCCAGGTCAATAGTTGTATTATATATAATGAGTGCAATGAGTCTGTGAAGAGTTTGTAGTTATGGTCAAAAAAGCAAACATGATTACTGATGGGGATGGATATGGTCATGTAGGAAAAAAAACCTTCAAGGATTTGGAACATTTACTTTCTATAGTTTGCCCACATGGTAGGGGGATTTTCCCTGGTCTTGACTTAGTGTGTAAACGATGTATTCCTCCCCCAGTACCTTTCTTAGGGTTAGTGGCTCTATTCCTGTACCTTTGCCTCATAGTGTAGAGAGGAGATACCAGGAACTTCAGACTTCTAGTAGGTTTTGGTGTTGCTCTTGACTTCCCCTTTTGCCTTATGGAAGTCGCTTACATCTAACTCTACTTTGAATATGGACTCTAAAAATGCCATTGTTTAAAGTGATCATAATGAATTCCGTATCAGACATGTTTCAGAGGGTAACTGTGTTAGTCTGTTTCAGCAAGAACTATGAAGAGTCCTGAGGCACTTGAACTACTAACAAATGTATTGGGGCATAAGCTTTTGTGGGTTGGAACCTACTTTGTCAAATTCATAGGTTGTGATCCATAAAAGCTTATACACAAATACATTTAAATTTAAAAAACAAAAAATGATCTGGTAGCACTTTATAGACTAACAAAACATGTTTGTTAGTCTATAAAGTGCTACCAGATCATTTTTTGTTTTTTAAATTTTACCCCCTGAAGCAATACATAAATTTGTTACCCTTTAAGGAGCCAAAGGACTCCTCGTTTTTGCTGAAACAGAATAATGTGAATACTCCTGAAATTTGTCACCATGCAAGACATTGAATTTAGCTGTATGAAGTGGATAAAAGATGCATCTGACAAAGTAGGTCCCAGCCCATGAAAGCTTATGCCCAAACAGATTTGTTAGTCTTTGAGGTGCCACAGGACTCTGTTTTTTATATCAGACATACTTAGAAAAAAAACCCAAACAACTGTGAGTTGTGAGGGTCCTGCCCTTCCTGCCAGCGTGCCACTTGGAACTGGGGTACCACTGAGCCTGTCAGACCTAGCAGCCTGTGTTTCCTTAGCACTGTGCTGCTGTGTAATGTGCCAGGTCTTCCCTAGGCTTCAGACTGCACTTTATCAGTACACTTAGAAGTAGGGATATCCCCAGCTGCAACTATACACACAGATGCTGAGATCAATTCTGCATTGGAAGGCTCAGCTAAGGAACTGCCAAGTGCTAAAATTCACATGCCCCTCTAGAAAATAAGCCCCAAATTGTAACATCTTGCACTATACAGTGAACTGTACAGCATAAGCACTGAAATTTACTTCTTGCTTTCATGCTGAGGAAGATATGCAATAGCTTTTTGCCCTCCTGTTATGAATTGCACACACAGGTTGTAGATAACATAAACATAAGTTTATTTACTACAGAAGATAAACTTTAAGTGATTATAAAGGATAGCAGATTGAAGCAGATTTTGCTTTTGCTTATTTGCTAAGTAATCTGAATTTAAAATACTTAAGAAATTAGTTATAAGTAGCAAATTCTCACCCTACATGTTGTTTTGGACAGGTTGTAGAGATTCTTCAAGGCCAACTGCACTTGCTTGTATCTTAAAACTTCAGATATTCTATTCACAGATTAGACCCCCAGGTTCAGTCCTTCTCCCGAGTTGTATTTTGTTTCTTAAATATTTACAGCAGTCATCTTGGGTGGGGAGAACCCTGATGATGCCACTCTTCTGCCTTAAATACCTTTTTCATAAGGTAGAAACCCGTTGTCTCCCAGTTTGATTCCCAGTCCTGGTTAGTGGAAAAATGCTAGTATTATTATGGATTTCAGTATCACATGACTTAGTCACATGTCTCTGTAGGGCCACAGCAACCATGAGCCAAAGCTGTCTATAACATCCTTAGGAATGCTTTCCTGGAATGCTCCCTGGTGATAGACTAGCATCTTTTAAGATCTGTTGTTCTTTGTAGTGGTTCTTTCCAGTCAGTCATATAGAACAGGGAGGAGAACTTTTTTGGATTGGAGGTCACTGACCTACAGAAAAATCAGTTGGAGGGCCACATACAAGTGAGAAGCACACCCCTCTTCCCCCCCCCCCCCCCCCACCTCAAGTGAGAAGCAGGAAAAAAAAAGAGACACACTCGCCTCATTCCAATTACACTCCAGCTCCATGGAGAAGGGGGATGAGTTTCATGTCCCCTCCCCCCTGCCGGGCCGGATTAACTCTTCTGGGGGTCCAGGGCTAGTAGATTTTTGTGGGGACCCTCTTGGTTCTAGGGTGTGGTTGCATTCTGTCCAGTGGGCATTCTCACATGTAAACATGTTTATAATAGAGGTGTAGATGATATTCTTAATTTCAGATATCAACATGATACATGCATACAAGTAGGATAATCATATTCAGTAAATCATAATCTTTCCAAAATACAGGACTATGTAGCACTTTAAAGACTAACAAGATGGTTTATTAGATGACGAGCTTTCATGGGCCAGACCCACTTCCTCAGATCCTATTTTCTTCCACTATTTGATCTGAGGAAGTGGGTCTGGCCCACGAAAGCTCATCATCTAATAAACCATCCTGTTAGTCTTTAAAGTGCTACATAGTCCTGTATTTTGTTTCAGCTACACCAGGCTAACACGCTACATTTCTATCAATAATCTTTCCAGTGATACCTCATATGACTCATCTTGTGTAAAATACATGTTAGTTGTGTCATATTCATATAATAACCATATCTCTATGGAAAAAAATGAGTAGTGTCACAGTAACCACCAAAACTAGTTCGGAAAACTAGTCTGAACTCCAGGTCAAGCTGGCAGTGCCGGATTTATGCACAAGATAAGTAAACTACATTTTAGGGCCTCAGATTATGAGGGGCCTCTAAATACAAAAAAAACAAAACTAGTTTTTAGTTGTATCCTTGTCTATGTACTGGTGTGTATATGCAAATATACAACTTTATTATTTATATTTTCATTGTCCTTGGTTAGAATTATACATTTTGGGCTAATGCTATAGAGCCTCTTACACTTGACATACTTTAGGGCCTCAGCTTGTCTTAATCCCGCCCTGCAAGTTGGGTTTGTGCGTGTGTGTGTGTGCACACATAAAGGTGGTGCAATCCAAGTTAGTCACTAAATTATAAAATGAATTGAGCCCTGCACATCTACAGACACCCACTTTATATTCACAGGTATCTGCCTTTGTTGGTCTGGATCAGATATCTGTGGGTCAATTTTGCAGATGTGGATGCAGATACTAATTTTGTATCCGTGCAAGGCTCTACCAACGTGGTTATACAGGTGTAACTGACTGGAACCCCGTTATCAGTTGTCAGTTCTATTTGATGCAGGACCTGGAATGGACTCCACTCTGTTATATTGGCTCTGAAGGCCTGATAGGAGTGAAAAATTACTTTACTCAGATTGGTGGAAGGGAGTCTGATTGAAAAGTAGAGTCTGTTTATTTTGTAGAGTAGAATTGCATTTTAACAGTAGTACCTTGCTACCTCTCATGTATGAAAATTAACTTGGTCAGTGTTGTTAACAGGTAAAGTGCTATTTACGCACAAAGCAGGTCAATGGTCAAATCATTTGCTACTGTGGTAAGCATTTTGGACTTAAAAATACCATCATCTTATTCTTTTACAATTGATGAGCTATGTTCTGTGGGAAAACCTGCTAGAGCAGTGGTTCTCAAAGTGTAGTCCACGGATCACTAGTGGTCTGCGACCATCTTGCAGGTGAACCACAGGCTAGGGACTTCTTCTCTAACCCTGCAGCCCCCCATCTTGTGAGGTTGGGGCACTAGAGCCGGCTTTCCACTGTGGAGGGTAGGAGTGCGGGGGTGGTGGGAGGAAGCCTCATAGGCTGAATCCAAGGAAGGAAGGGAGGAAGTGAGGGGTTCTATGTGCTGCCACTCCTCCTCCCCCCAGCTAGGGGAATGGAAGTCCGGGAAGCCACTCACCTGGAAACTGGAATCACAGCCAAGGGGAGTAATGGGGGGCAGTACCTAGGAGAGGCAGGAGGCAATGACCCAGGTAAGCACCCCCCCATCTCCCTCATGCCCATTTCCCACTCCTGCACCCTCTTCTGCCAAGACCCTGCACCTTCACTCCACTCCGGAACTTTCCCTCTGACCCCCTCCCCACTCTCAACCCACTCCTGCACCCAACCTCCCAGCCAGAACCTCCATCCCCACTCCTGCCTGCACCCATTTTCATGGGTTATCACAGGTAGTTGACTGGTGGTCCACAGTCTGTGTTGAGCGGGGTGGTCCACAAGCCAAAAAGTTTGAGAAAAACTGTGCTAAAGGCTCTGCTGGGGAAGACTGTTAATGTTGTTCATGGCATGATAGGAAGAAGCTAAAGAAACCACAGAAAGAAGCTATTGAAAAATAGTTTGGAGACTGGAAATTAGAAGGAAGAGTCGGGAACCATTGTTGATAACAGAAAGTTGTCTCTGCAATAAATACTTTTTAATGTTGCAGATTGCTAATACAATAAAAAAAAATTCATCCAGCAAATCTAACACATGGCTTACTGATAAATGGAAAGGAAGTGACATAGTCACTTGAACATCTTAACAAATAACAAAACATAAACTTGGATAATTAACTACAAGGTGCTGAGCAGGAATACCACGGCATTGAAGAATGCTGGATGCTTCCTAGTGCAAGGTAAATCGAGTAAACTGGAGGAGTATAGCTCTCAGATTAAAAGAGAAAGGAGATATATGGTTGGAAAAAAACCCAGATAATCCAAAAATGGACTAGCTGAAAGCCTTATACTGTCAAAATCTGCCAAATTGGGATGTGATCCTACAAGAGCTGAGTGCCTCTTGCAAGGTGCTGCACATTCTGCTTTGCAGAATTGAAAGAGGCCATTGTTGGAATGAAATAGATGGGTGAGTGGAGCAGAACTAAACTCATTCTTTGGGCCATCACTACAAACCTGTCTCTTTCTGTTATAGCTGCTAAAGATGGCACAGCAGGCACGCCCAATCTACAACTTTATGATGTGAAAACGGGGAAGTGTTTGAAGTCTTTCATCCAGAAAAAGATGCAGAATTGGTAAATAATATTTTGTAGTACTAATTATCTGCAGCGATGCATACTTTTCAAAACTTTATCTTGAAATGATAATTGTGCTGGTTTTCAAAATATTGCCTGCCACAAACTGAAAATATCTAATTTCTTTGCTAGTACAGATATCCTTGTATACGTTTGTAACATAGTAAATCTTTTGCCATTTGGTACAATTAGGGGCAAATAATTAGAGATTGTATGATATGTTTATTAGAGACATCATAGCACTAACCTCATAACTTGTAATATTGGCTCTTTGTGACCATTGGTCTAAACTTAAGTTATGAAATGTAGTTTGTAAGTACTGAAATAGTAAATGTTGCCTACTTCAGTGTTTTTGTCATTTTTTTGTGGATCTTAGGTGTCCTTGCTGGGCAGATGATGAAAGTATTTGTGGTAGGATCGTAAATAACGAATTGCACTTCTTTGAAAACAACAACTTTGGTATGCAAACATTTCTAAGATGACTTCATTGTGTTATAGATATGTTTCTCTTTTGCCTATCCATCCTTTTGACTGTTTTCTGATTTCCCCCCTTCCCCTCCCATGTTGTTGGCTTTATCTGAAAGGTTGCTTAAATCCTCTTTTATTTTGGTACCTAGAATAATTCTGAAGTCTTAGCATATTTTCAGTACATAGATGGTTTTTCCACTTCTAAGCTGCCCCAAATGTGTGAGAGTTCTCCATTTTAGACATAGAGGGCCAATTCTGCTTTGACATATGCTCAGAGGAGTTCAAAACTTGTTTGTCAGTATAGAATTTGATCCATGATTTCTTTTGTGGGTTATGCTGAGTGTATATCTTTTGATTTCCAAAGAGCCATGAGAAGGCGGATGCTTCTGGCAACAACATTACTATGGAGCCAGGATATTTTCCAGAGTAGTTCAGCATTAACCACACATATTTGGGAAATAGAGAACAAGCTGAGACAGAGGCAAGCATGATGACAGTGAGGAGGAGGAAGCCAGGACAGTTTGGAGATACAGAACGTTGAAAATGGAAGAGAACAAAAGGAGCTCCAAAGAGAGAAAAAAGAGCAGTGAAAATTTGGAGAAAAAACCCCCCCGTAGATGACCCAAAAGTTGTTTGGGAGCTAAGGGTGTAACACACTGCCTTATGGAAGACATGATTTTAGGATTCAGGGGCAGTTTCTTCTGAAGTTAGTCAAACTTGGGGATATAGAGACATCGGATGCCTCTAGCTCTATGCTTGTTGGAGGAGGAAGGTTAGGATGAAACACATGTTTTTCTAGGAGGAGGCTTTTCACCATTCTTCCCAAGTGGAAGAAACCTTCCATAATGTTGATCAAAGGGCAGGTTTCCAGGGGTTATACTGGGAAAAAAACCTGTATTCTCAACAGGTGGGGTTTCCTACATTGTGCTATGGTACATTTCTGATCTGTTGTAGATGGAAAGATGAGATTGCTATGAGAGCAGATGCCCTTTAATCTTTTTATTTAACATTGTTTACTTAGCAATCAGGTGGTTCATGAACTAAATATTGAAGTTTGTTTTGAGAGGGCTAGAAAAGCTATATTAATCTCCAACTGCCAAGAGATAATTCCATGATACCATGTCCACTTCTGCTGCTGTGCTCCTTATTGGGTTTCCTCCCCCCACAGGATTTAAGAAGGGTCATAAGTGTTTCTTTCTCATGCTCTTCTCCCCCGTCTCCACAGGCTTTGTGGTGTTGGCAATCCACTGAGCCTACAAATCAGGGTGTTGACAGGGATGTTAGGTACCACCTTACCCCACTCAAAACCTATAGTAGCAGGCACAGGTCAATGGCTTCCAGAAATTTTTGCTTAATTTGGGCAGAAATCTTAATAATCCCTGGTGTGGTAGCTAGGGAACTCCCCTATCCTTTGGGACAAAATATGAGGGATATCTACTAAGGGCTGAGCTTATTTGTCACTTCTGCCACTAAGTTCACTCTGATAGAATAATGCAGAAGGAAAAGGCCCATTTTAGCAGCTAAGAGAGTTGGTGCTGAGTGCAGGATGCACTTCCCAAGAAAGTTCGTGTGTGTAGGAGAGGGATCAATGCACAGCAGGCCTTTCAGAGAGCCTGCCTTGGGGAGCAGACACCTGTGTTATCCACAAAGATCTAAGAAGGGGAACCTATACAGAGTAGAACAGGATGTGTGGGGGTGGCTGTGCTTCCTCTGATGACTACCTAGTTAAGATAGGAGGGAAGAGACTCTGCCATTTGCTCTGATTAAAGAACAAGGAGTATTTTAGTGTTCAAAGACTTTCATGCTGTGTGACCTTCCTCCCCCCCAGATTTGTAGAATGTTTTAAATCTAAGGGTATGTCTAGACTGCACCCCTCTGCTGGCAGAGGGATGCAGATTAGGCTGGGCGAAATTGCTAATGAAGCAGGGATTTCAATATCCCACGCTTCATTAGCATAAAAATGGCTGCCACTTTTTTCCGGTCCGGAGCTTTGTCGGAGAAAAGCAGCAGTCTAGAGGCTGATCTATCGCTAAAGAAAGCCTTTCCCGATAGATCCTGTATGAGGCATAAGGGATCTATTGGAAAAGGCTTTCTTTAGCGATAGATCAGCCTCTAGACTGCTGCTTTTCTCCAACACAGCTCCGTGCCAGAAAAAAGTGGTGGCCATTTTTATGCTAATGAAGCATGGGATATTGAAATCCCTGCTTCATTAGCAATTTCGCCCAGCCTAATCTGCATCCCAATGCCAGCAGAGGGGTGCAGTCTAGACATACCCTTTGGTTGGTTCAAAGTTTGATGGAGACATTTCCCATCCTATAATTGTCATACCTGTGATCATAAATAGAAATAAATCTAGTCAAAACTGTGAGACTGAGAAATTATATAATGAAAGGTGATTATCATGCTGCTTTTGCCAAGTAAAGAATCTCTTTATGGTTCAGTACATAGTTCCTTGTGTATGATCAGCAGAGTAGACTCATAAAATGGTATAATTTAAAAGTTCATTAAGTAGTGTGAGGTAAGTGTTTTGTCATTAACTTGATTGTAATTTATGCTTTTGCAGATACTATTGCAAATAAACTTCATTTGCAAAAAATTAATGATTTTGTGTTATCACCGGGACCACAGCCAAGCAAGGTATCTATAGTGTTTATTCGCAACTCATTTTTTTTCTTTAATTTCTTTAGAAATCATTGTATTTCTCTGCTTTTGTGCTACCATGAACAGCGTATCACTAATTTAATATAACGATGTTGATTTAGGTTGCTGTTTATGTTCCTGGAAGCAAGGGAGGGCCCTCGTTTGTAAGGCTCTATCAGTACCCTAACTTTGATGGCCCTCAATCTGCATTGGCCAATAAAAGTTTCTTTAAAGCGGACAAGGCGACAATGCTATGGAATAATAAAGGTACAGAAGCTATTCATTTAAACTCTTATGTTTTTTCCCCTAACCTCACGGTTTGGTTATTTTGCTTACTGCTGTTTTTGTATTAGTAAAATGTATCAAATACCAAGACACAAACTTGTTTAAAACTATCATTAATGTTGCATTAACACTAACATTCTTATAACCTGCCCATATTGCCCTTCAAGATCTTGTCCCCATCTATATCTCTGTTCTCGTTTCTTCTTAATCATCTCGCTCCATATACTCCTTGCGTACCTTTTGTTTTCTCTGTACCCTACAGTTTCTCCTCTCTCTTACCTTTGCATGCTCTTTTTCATGCAGCTTTATATATCTATGTAGGACTAGAAACTCTGTTATAATTAAACTTGAGCCTCCAACAGAAAATCCCATCACACCATGCCCTAATTCTTGTTGACACTGAACATACTTTTTCACATCCTTTTTTAAAAGCCATTTCATTCAGAAATGCTGCCTGCTCACCCCTTCTGTACCCAAACAGGCATCATGTTTTGTTTAGACTATAATCTACAAAGAACTTGTCTTACTCTCTTTTTGTAAAGTGCCAGATTTGTATTTAACATAATTAGTCATCTGAAATATTCTATATATTTATAATGTGAGCAAGTTCAAGTTACTATAAGAATCTAAACATGTATTTCATTACTTTTGAGTGTGCCTTTGTGTGCAGCAATAAAATTCCAGTAAGTTTAGACTCTTAATGTGTGTCTAGACTACAGGGTTTTTTCGAAAAAAGTGGCCTTTTTTTTAAAAAAACTTCCCCTGCATCTAGACTGCTGCCGTGTTCTTTCGAAAGTAAATCGAAAGAATGTGGCAGGTTTTTTTGACCACAGAAAACCTCGTTTTACGAGGAATAACACTTTTTTTCCAAAGTGCTCTTCCGAAAAAAGGCACTATGTAATGCAAAGTGTGCTTTTTCGAAAGAGAGCATCCAGACTGCCTGGGTGCTCTCTTTCGAAAAAGTGGCTTGCTTTTTCAAAAGTACTGGTTGTAGTCTAGAGGCTCTTTTTCGAAAGAGGCTTTTTTGAAAGTATCTTTCAATAAAGCCTCTTTCGAAAGAGGCTTGCAGTCTAGACATAGCCTTAGAGTTATAGAACTGAGATATTTATTTACATAAAACCATACCATGTTTGAAATGACCAGCATAGTCCCCTTTGTGCTTTACCACTCATGTGCAATGGTGGTCATTTCAAAGTCACGTTGGTAAGACTTTTATACTATGACCAAAAATCACACACATACGTGAACAGAAGATAATGTCTATATTATATACTTATGTGAAGGTGTATAAATTAAATATAAATACACAAAAGCTATTGATATGCAGATTGTTTTATATTATTGGCTTGGATGTTAGTTTACAGTTTTTTGGTCAAGTGGACAGTTTAATATAGTTTTATGTGTGTGTAAAAATTCTCGTTACACCACTAAAAGAACACTTACCTTTGAATACTTCAAAATGAGTGAATGGGTTGCTCCACACCTTGAAATGAAAAACATCTTTAGGTTAAAGTCAAGAAAGGAAAATTTTAATGAAAAAGGAGATGATGATAGAGAGTTATGAGCATGTGATAAGGAATCTGTAAAGAAAGTGTCCATAAAATCTTAATAAATTTCACAGCTAGTAAACTTAATTTTTTTTCTCTGTGCATATTGTAGTTTCTGTTAGTGGACACTGAATTCTTGAACTATGTTTTGTATCCTAATAGCTTCTGCTGTGTTAGTAATAGCTAGTACAGAAGTTGATAAAACAGGAGCTTCATATTATGGAGAACAAACCTTGCACTACATTGCAACAAATGGAGAAAGTGCTGTTGTACAACTACGTAAGTGGCCTTTGAGTATTTACATAATGTTATGTTATGTTTGTTAATGGGAATTGTTCTTAACGTATACTAAAAATCTTAACGTTTTGGTGAAAACACTGGACTATTTTTTGTCATTTAGCAATGTTTCTGCACTAACAGATATTAAGGTAACAGATTTTGTTACCTCACATGGTAGAGTTCCTGTGGTATTTCCCTTTTCTGTTTAATAATAGCAATGGGCAATTGAAAATAAAAATACTTAAAATTCTACTTCTACTCCTTAATGTTTGAAGAACTGTTAAATTGCATCTGACTTCAAACTGTCTCTCGTACCCATGCTTACAAATGCGTATCTAATTGGATGCTTGATAGCATATGGTTTGATATCCTTAAGTTCAACCAAACCATGAAAACATCCCACGCGAGGATGCCCCTCTGCTTGTTGGGGGCATTCCATAATAAGCATAAAACTGTGACAGTTCTCTCTCTTGCTCTGCCCAGCTATACATACAAACTAATCATATCCCACACGTGAATAGAATTGTTGAAGAACAAAAAGATTCATTACAGTATTACCAACCCCAAATGTGCAAAAATAATGAGATTATGTATAAATAACAGATTTGGTGCTTTTATGTGCCTTCGGCTTTTTAAGCCTTCAGGGTGCACAATGGGTCACATTTTGAAGCTTTGTCTGCAGCCATGGGGGCTGGAAACTTACTTTTCTGTAAGAAATGAAAGCTGAAATCATCATGCATCCACTTGATTCCAGGAGCTGGGGCTTTAAGGAAGTCAATAATTATCATGAGACTCATAACCAAATCATGAGAGTCGTCAACACTGATCATACTTGCACATTTTTATAAAAATATGGGTTTTTAATCCCAGAGCCCAGGCTCTAGTCCAAGACTGCAAATCTGTTTCCCTAAAATGTTCTCTGCAGTGGTGTTCTTCCCTTTCTTTCTTTCCTCATCTGTGATTAGGCATGTTTTGTCCTGTTAAGACTTGTTTGTCAGGAGTGTTGGGAGACAGGGAGATGTCTGTTCACAAACATTTTAGTTGACCTATGTTAAATTGACTCAGTCACAGCAATAATTACTGCAGTGGTTCATGTCCACATTATCCTCCTCCTACAAATGATGTGTGTCCTCACCAGGAATATTTCTCACATTATCCTCCTCCTACAAGTGATGTGTGTCCTCACCAGGAATATTTCCACCAATTTAAGAAGGGCATTGTAGGGGGCTGAGCCTAAGCTCTCAGCTATGTGCATTGTTCCATGCAGGGACCTTAGCTCTTTACACCTCCCCACAGGTCTTGGCTCACCACTGGAAGCTTGGCTGTCCTCCTGTCCTCCCCAGTGGGAGCCTGGCTCTGCACTCAGTGGGAGCCCCTCACTCACCCTTGTGTGACATCCCGAGCTGCGAATCAGGCACAGGGTTCCCAGCAGGAAACCTACTGTGTTAATGTCATGGCTCCAGTAAGGACTTGTTCATATGCCTCTTAATGATATGTACGTTGCAGATACCTTAATGTGTCCCATTATTTCAAATGCCCTTCCCCTCCCCCCTGCCAAATGAAGCTTTGTTGTTAATAATCCCTAATGTGGATATTCACTTTGGAGGGAAAAATCAAGTTTGACTTGCAAAATTGGTTACTGTAACTGCAATGTTTAATTACTGAATGTGCATAGAAAAAAAGGGCAATTGAATCAAATTATTGTCTACAGTATTACAAAAGTGTATCAAGGAAAGTCTTTTATGAAAGCTGGTAAGATACTTGTCATTTAAGATCATTGTGACTATGAAGGATGTTAAATGGTGATTATCTGGCTAATTGTGTAGTCACTACAACAACCACTGAGCTCTTACTACATTTAAAATGCAGAGGTGTAGCATCCCAGACTAGTGCAAGCCAGGACTGCTTAGTCCCGGCTCATGCCGGGTCCAGCAGCTCCTGTTCACGGCGACCCAGGGTGGCCTTATACACAGGCAGCAAGGGGGGGGGGAGCATGGAGAGAAGCGAGTAGTCAAGAACTCCATTCGACTACCTAATAAGCATAAACTTATTGGGTAGTTAAATAGTCGACTACTTGCTTACATCCCTAGTGACTATATGAGGATTTAGGGATACTCACTTTAAAGTGTGTCATCTTGCTAAGGCAGAAGAGTAGTGCAGTGGCTCACAATTTTGGGTGTCTTGAACAAGATGTCACACCCACTTATTCCCTTAAAAGACCATCACTGGTAATAAACTCAGGTTGAGTAATCCTCATTCCTAGTCTTATGCCAAATTTAAGTCCAGTATTTCACAGTTTTGTTGGCATAGAAAGAAGAGCTTTGTACAGATTGGATATTTATAGTCCAAATTTCTCTTGTCTAGCAACATCTGTGATCTGGCTGTAGATGCTCTCAGGCTGGAACACTCACAGAGGAAAAGCTGGAAGGAGAGATTCCCCATTCAGCAGCTCTCTCCCACCCTCCCAGAACATCTGGAGCACTGCACATAGCTGATTTGTGGCGTTCAAGCTCAGGGAGGGAGGAAACACTAAGGAGAAGAGGCAGGGTGGTTGCGGAGCCAACAGGAGAGCCTCATGGCCCATGGCAGAGGTCAGGGAGCTGTGCCCAGGTTCTCTGCTGTGGGACTTTGCAGCCAGCCTGCCCCTTCCTTTAAGTGCCACTCTGTCAATGTCATCCTCTCTGGTGCCACCAGAGCAGAGCCTCATACCCAGCAGCAGCAGAAGGGCTGATGTTGAACTCACCTGATCTGGCAAATTCCTGGATTCAGTATTGGTCAGGTCCCAAAGTGCCAGATCAGGGAAATTCAACCTGTACAACTGTAAAGGAGGATGTTTGTAGGTTTCCAGTGGACCACTGCTGCTAGTTTTTGAAGGTCCTGAACTATCATACTTGAATATTGAGATGAAAAAAAATATTTTTTACACATAAAACCTGGTATTACTGTAGAAATGGTGAGGCTTAGGAGAGGTATCTCAGAATTCGTGTGTGTGTGGGGGGGGTTATGTAGTAGTACAGACCATCCTCACTATGGCCATGTCTACACTGCAAGTTTTTTGCAGAAGAGGATATGCAAATGATGTGCTCATTTGCATCTCTTGCAAATTTGCCCTGTATCCCTAAGTAAAACTGAGCATAAGACATTGGTTTGCAATATCAATGTCTACCAAAGGTTAGTTTTTCTAGAATGGTGGATGATTGGACTTTGGGAAAACTTTGAAGTCGTATGTTGTGAGGTTTTTTTTCTTTTTTAAGGGAAGTGTCATTCAAGCAAATGTAAATTATATGATTTTATAATCTGATCTTTTTTTTTAATTTTTTTAGCAAAAAATGGTCCTATTTATGATGTAGTATGGAATCCCAATTCCACAGAGTTCTGTGCTGTATATGGTTTTATGCCTGCTAAGGCAACTGTTTTCAATCTGAAATGTGACCCTTTGTTTGATTTTGGAACCGGCCCTCGTAATGCTGCCTACTACAGCTCTTCTGGAAATATCTTAGTACTCGCAGGATTTGGAAATCTCAGAGGACAGATGGAAGTGTGGGATGTCAAAAACTACAAACTTATTTCCAAACCAGTGGCATCAGATTCTACGTATTTTGCTTGGTGCCCTGATGGAGAACATTTTGTAACTGCTACATGTGCTCCAAGGCTACGAGTTGGTAATGGGTACAAGATCTGGCATTACACTGGCTCTGTTCTACACAAATATGAAGTTCCTCCGAATGCAGAAATATGGCAAGTTTCCTGGCAGCCATTTTTGGATGGAACATTTCCAGCAAAAATAATAACTTACCAAGCAGTTCCAAGTGAACTGCCAAATGCTGAGCTGAAAACTGGCCAAGCTTATAGACCACCAGCTCTGAGAAATAAGCCTGTAACCAGTTCCAAGCTGGTAAGTAAACTTCACCTCGGTTATGTTGGTCCATCATTTCATCTGTATTTGAAATTTGGATACAAACTACTTTACTAATTAGGAAGGTGGTTTGGGAATGATGTCATAATCTTTGTATTTAGAAACAAACATCTGCCTTTTAGCAGGCTGGTTTCACTGACTGCCCCTCTGTTGCCTGTTTGCGGGAATGTGTGCTAGGAAGGCTATAATTTTATGGGACTAATCCACTTCTCTGCATAAAATTGCCATATAAAACCTAGATTTATCCAGTGTTGCTTGGGTCCTTAACTCAAATAAGTTTTGTTTTTCTTCATTTAAATGATTATTCTGGGGTTGGGTGCATGCCTCCAAGATGGGGAACGGATACACGGACAAGCTTTCTGAAATCTACAGTATAGTTGTCCCTTTCTCCACTCCTGCTGGCCCAATGGGGTTATAGCGCTCCTGGTCCCCAACTCTGACCTCTTGCTACCTGCCCCTGTGGTCATTCTGCAGTATAACTGTCCTTGTTGCCAGATCCCTCCCTTTGTTTGACACAACCAAACCCTGACCTTGCTTTAAATTATGATGCGAGGAAGCTGCATACCAAATTTGGTGGTCTTAGCTCTTACCATTTAGGAGTTCTTGAACAAACAGATAGACAGATGTATGTTTCTAACATATATAGGAAGGAGATGATGGGAGCTCCTTAGAGCAGTAGCACAGACAGCTGCAAATGCTGTCTCCTCTTGCTGCTGCTGAATAACAGAACCTTGGTGGTTAGGTAATTGTCATTTCCGTTGTGGTGTAGTCAGCTGAATTTGATGAAGCAGCATTCTAGAATTTCAGAGGGGTAGCTGTGTTAGTCTGTAACTGAAAAAACTTAAACGAGTAGTCTTGCAGCACCTTAGAGGCTAACAAAGAAGTGGGTTGTGCCCACGAAAGCTCATGATACCATCTACATTTTTGTTAGTCTCTAAGGTGCAGAAAGACTATTCGTTATTTTTTTTAAAATTTCAACATTCTAGAATCAGATACAGGCAGTCCCCGGGTTACGTACAAGATAGGGACTGTAGGTTTGTTCTTAAGTTGAATCTGTATGTAAGTCGGAACTGGCATCCAGATTCAGCCGCTGAATCTGGACACCAGTTCTGACTTACATATAGATTCAACTTAAGAACCCCAGGCGTCCCCAAGTCAGCTGCTGCTGAAACTGATCAGCAGCTGATTCCAGGAAGCCCGGGGCAGAGC